CCGGGGGATGGCAGGCGGGTAGGGTGACCAGACCTCCTGTTTTTAAGGGGACAGTCCTGTATTTAACCCTCCTGCAGGCAAAGGTGCTAACTTCTGCTTGCGCCGGTGGGTGCTGGACCCCTCTCTTCCGCAGGCCCTGCCCCGACTCCGCCCCTGTCCCGCCCCCATTCTAACCCCTTCCCCAAAATCTCTGCCCCAACTCCGCCCCCTTGCCTGTCCCTATTCCGACTCCTTCCCCAAATCCCCGCCCAAGCCCTGCCTCTTCCCCGCCTCCTCCCCTGAGCACCTCACGTTCCCGCTCCTCCCCGTCCCTCTTGGAGCCTGCTACGCTGCCAAACAGCTGAACCCTGGGCCCAGCAGAGGGGACGCCCGGCTGGGGAGCGGGGACAGAGTCACTGGGGGGTTCCCCAGCCAGGGGGCAGCAGCAGTCCCTGGAGTTTCAGGGCCGATGGCTGGGTGCTCGGTTCCATCCTGCCCCCATCCCAGCCGATGCTCATTTTCATCCCACAGAGGGAACCAACCCAGCTGGGACCCAGCAGTTGGATTCCCCCCTGACGGAGCCGGAGGGAGAAGGGGAGCGGGAAAAATAGAACAATTCATCCCCCAGGGAACAGGGCTCCCGGCTCAGACGCCTTTTTCTTAAAAACAGGCACATTGTCCTGTATTTTCTGCCTCCCCCCACCCACCCCCGTCAGTACTGGCTGGATCCCTGCTCAAGGCGAAGATGCAGCGTGTGGGGCCGGCCACCCTCCTGCTGGTCCATCAACTCAGCTCCCGCTGCAGCAGCTGAGGGTCTCACTGGGCTGATCCTCCCCGTTCTGGGATCCCGGGGGCGCTGAGCCGGCCCGAATCCCTGGGTCCCGTCCTCTCCCCAGGGGAAGAGCCACCATTGCCGACTGGGAGAGGGGGTCCCTGTATAATTAACCACAGACACCAGGGCTCCAGCTTTCTCACCCCCAGGCCCGGCCCTTGACAGATGCTGGTTCTATTCCTGCAGGGGGAACTGACCTGCCTCACATGACAACCACACCAGCTCCCACCTTCCTAAGCAGCGCAGAGCCAGGTACCAGTGCTGGGGGCAGGTATTCGACATCAACTCTCCCAGAAACAGGTTTGTTCAGCCCAAAGAGACGCCCCCGGGGGGAGTCACAAACAGATGGCTGGGTGGGATGGGGGCAGATCCCCACAGTGAATGCCCCATCTGAACACTGCCCACGGACTCATTTCATATGCCGGGGGGTGTCACTGGACAGATGCCAGATTGGCTTGGTGGGGGCAGGGCCCAGGAGAGCTTCCCCCCAATGCACAGCCCCACCCCGGGTACACCACAGACCGGGGTTTTGTGCTGCCCACCGGCACCACAAACCCACCTGTTTGGGGCACAGCTCGGTGCATATTCCCCTGGGAGAACAGGGCCGGGGACGGAGAGCCCGGAATAGTGGTCCCTTATATCCCATATGTCTGCCTGAGTCTGCAGACAGCCCGGGGGAATGGCTCAGAAGCAGGGCTCCCCCTTCATGGGGTGCTGCCCAGCGGGGTGTCAACCCTGGAACCTACCAACCCAGATAGACACCGTTTTAACTCTGTAACGTACCAATTCCATGTGACACAGTTAACTCTGGATCCTAATAATGGCCTTTGCTACACCATCTGGGTCCTGACAACTATTCTCTGTGCCAGGCTCTTGCCACCCCAGGAATTTCTCCCCACTGACCACCACCTTCCACTGGGTTTGAATCCCTGGGTCCCATCTTCTCCCCAGGGACACTGGCTCAGTTGACTGGGAGATGGGGTCCCTGTATAACTAATCACAAACACCAGGGCTCCAGCTTTCTCACTCTGCCCCCCACCTGCCCTGGCCCCTGACAGACACTGGTTTTATTCCCACAGGGGAAACCAACCAGACTCATCCAGGAACAACTCCGACTTCGACCCACCCAGGCAGGGTGGGACCAGGTACCGGGGTTGGGGGCAGGAAATCGCCATCAACCAACCCACCCTGTGGGTCCAAGGGGCTTGAGCCCAGGAGAGGACATGCAGACATATATGCTGGGTCCGGGAGTGGGAGCCAGTCTGCCACCCCGCCTATCTGGCTAAACAGCTGTATGGCCTTGGGACCCAGCAAGGGGGCTAACGCCGGAGCCTTTCCGCAGGGTCAGCCGGGCTCCGATTGCCAGCCTTCCCAAAGGCCGCGAGACAGGCATCTATATCTCCCCCTCCTTAACCTGGGGCAGCAATTTAGTGTCGAGGTTCCCTGCGGAATTGGCACCCCAGGGTCCATCCCCGCTCACCCCTGGACGGGTCCCTCTGCCTCTCAGCTCCGCCATCGCCAGCTCATCTCCTGCTGTTCTGCCTCCTGCCTTCCCTGTCTCTCCTGGTCCTCTGACTCCTTCAATCTCGGCTCCCATTCCATCCGTCTCAGATCCCCCCACAGGGAGCTGGCTGGAGACCCCCTGCTGGTCAGGGATACAGGTCTCAGGGACACCTGGCTCCTTCCAGCCTCCCTTGGCCTCAGCTGGGTCAGGAACCAGTGCGGGCCCTGGGGCTGCCTGGCTGGTCCCAGCCTCTCTCGCAGCCCCCAGCTGTGTCAGCAACCGGCTCCTTAGAGCGATCGTCCTCTTCCAACTGAGCAATCAGCTGTGCCTTGGTGAGCTTTCCAACGCGCAGCCGTCTCTCTGCACAGCTCTGCAATGTCCTTCTTCCGGAGATGGTTACAGGCCATCTCCACGCTGTTCCCAAGTGGTCATGGATTCAGGCCTGTGCTATCTCATCTCCCCATGGTCCCTGCGAGGATCCCCTTCAGTGCGACAGCCCTTCAAGGGGGCCACAATCTCTCCCGGGGGTTAAGCCATAGACTCCTGAGCCCTACAGGGAGCAATTTAATACACTACACCCGGCGGCTCTCACAGCCTTGCTGCCCGGCAGGAGCTCGCAGCCCCACTGCCCAGAGTGCTGGCGGTATGGCCAGGGCTGGCTCCAGTATTTCTGCCACCCCAAGCAAAAAAAAAAAAAAAAAGACATGATCGGTGGCGGCAGTTCAGCGGCAGGTCCTTCGCTCCTAGAGGGAGTGAGGGACCTGCCGCCCCCGAATTGCCGCAGGTGCCGCCCCTCTCCCTTGGCCGCCCCAAGCACCTGCTTGTTAAGCTGGTGCCTGGAGCCGGCCCTGGGTATGGCGAGCTGAGGCTGCCGGGGAGGGGCCAGGGGCTAGCCTCCCCGGCTGGGAGCTCAAGAGCCAGGCAGGAGGGTCCCGCAGGCCAGATGTGGCCCACAGGCCGTAGTTTGCCCACCTCTGATATAGAGGGTGACGGATAGATCCATGTGGACGGACGGCCACAGGTCAGTGGGAATATGGGTACTTGGGAACATATGGGGGGCGAAGAGCAGAAAACTGGACCTGAAATGTCAAATCCCGTGTGGTTCCCAACCCCCACTGGTGATCTCAGAGTGAGTCTGGGCTGTCGGTATTAGCGCCCCCTGGTGTGATACAGCCCCGGTTGGCAGACAAGCTCCCCTGTAGCTCTATAGACACAGGGACGTTCCTCCCCCAAAATAGGGACAGCTGCACCCAGACCTGCTCCGCAGTGACTCCAGGTGTGAATGGCACCGGGCTGGGGCAGGGACCGTCTCTGTGTCGTGTGTCTGTACAGCTCCGAGCACACGGGGCGGCTGGCCCACGACAAGGGCTCCTGGTAATTAATACGAGTCAGGAATGATTTAGGTTCCGGTTTCCGTGGAGCCAGGCAGGGGCTGTATCTGCACTCAGGGTCTCGCTGGGCCGATCCTCCCGTTCTGGGATCCCAGGGGCGCTGAGCCGGCCCGAATCCCTGCGTCCCATCTTCTCCCCAGGGACGTCAGCTCAGCTGACTGGGAGATGGGGTCCCTGTATAACTAACCACAAACACCAGGGCTCCACATTTCTCACTCTCCCCCCCACCTGCCCTGGCCCCTGACAGACGCTGGTTTTATTCCCGCAGGGGAAACCAACCAGACTCATCCAGGAACGACTCCGGCTTTGACCCACCCAGGCAGCGTGGGACCAGGTACCGGGGCTGGGGGCAGGAAATCGCCATCAACCACCGCAAAAACAGGTTTGTGCAGCCCAAGAAGCTGCCCCCGGGGTAACCATGAAGTCAAGGGCCAGGTTGCTTGGGACAGGAGCAGATCCCCAAGCAAATGTCCCATCTGGGCTGAGACTCCCGCCGCCCCCCCCGGACTCATTTCATAGGCTGGGGGGCGGTCACTGGACAGATGCCAGATTGGCTTGGCAGGGGCAGGGCCTGGGAGATCTTCCCCCCAACGCACAGCCCCACCCCGTCGGCCCCACAGACCAGGGTGCTGTGCTGCCCACTGGCACCACAAAGCAACCCATGTGGGGCACAGCTCAGTGCATATCCCCCCGGGAGAACGGGGACGGAGAGCTGGGGTAAGGGCCCTGTGTATCCCCTCTGTCTGCCTGAGTCTGCAGACAGCCCAGGGGAATGGCTCAGAAGCAGGGCTCCCCCTTCACAGGGATGCTGCCCAGTGGGGCGTTAATACTGGAAGCTACTGAGTTAACTCTGGAACCTACCAATTCAACGTGACACCGTTAACTCTGGAACCAAATGATGGCCACCTGATGGCACCACCGTTTTGTCTTCCGCTGCTGATCGCTTCAATGGGGTGTGGTTCTCCCAACGATCTCAAAGTGCCCTGCCCAGCCAGAAGCCCCACCCCCACTGCCATGCCCGCCCCCCGAGATGATTCCTACACAGACATGAGCTGAAGCTGCTGGGAAATTCCCAGGGCAAGGCAGGACCTGGGGGGGCTGGGCTGCGGGATCTGGCCCCAGCTGCCTTCACAGGGTACATGGGGCCTGAGGTACATCCCCCCCCCCAGGATAGGCCTCTGCCATTGGCAGTGAACCCCCCTGACCACTATTACCCAGAATCCCCTCTGCTCCTGCCGCCCCCAGCCCCATAGCATGTTCTGCTCTGGGTCCCTAGGTCCTCGAGGGGGAGGGGCTGGGGCAGCAGGTAATGAACCAGCCACTCACGGCTCTCACCGCCTGGTGCTGCTTCCCAGGGATATTGGAACTGTGGAGGAAAAAGTTTGCTAGGGCCTAAACTTTAGTTGGTTCAGACCTGAACATTAGTTAAGTCTATTGTAGGTGAAAGGTTTTTAGAGGCAGAATAGAGGAAAAGTACAAAAGCAAAATATCTATAATTATAAGGCCTATGATTCATAGTGCTGCATTGATGGTTTTGGGAAGTCTGGAAATCGCAGTAGGATAGACTGTGAAAAACAGGAAAGCTTGCTAAGCTATATTCCTTTTATGGAGAGTGTATTCCAAATATGGCAATAATGCTGATAAGAAAGTATGTATTATATAATTGTGGTTTTATGCTATATAAGCTGTGTAAAATTCTGTAATCAGGGGGATTGCTAGTTTACTGGTACCCCCCATGCATGCATGAAAATAAAAAGGCCTCAGGCGATTCTGATCCAAACACAACGCGTGGTCATTTTTCCACAACAGAACCAAGTGCAGCACCGGGTCTGACCCGCACCATCATCGCCGGGGTGAGCGCGGTGGCCGCCGGCCTCTTCCTCCTCCTCCTGATCTTCCTCTGCTACAGAAGTGAGTGCCCTGCCCAGCGAGGGACGGGTTAAACCCGCTGCTAAGCCGGGCTGGGAAGGGGTCATGGCTGGGATGGGAGACAGGGAAGGAAACCCAGTGGGTGGGGCAGGAGGCCAGCAGGGGGCGCTTTCCCCTGGCAGGGAGAGCTGGCCCCAAAGCCCTTGGGCAGCACTAGGGGGTGCTCTGGTGCAGAGGGTGGGGGCTCAGTAGGGGGCGCTGTGGTGCAGGGGGTGGGGCAGGGGATTGGCTAGGGGATGCTGTGCTCCAGGGGGCAGGGACCTGTCTCTAGAGCATTGGTTTCCAAACTAGGGGGCGCTCCCCCCTGGGGGGGCATGAAGAAATTCCAAGGGGGGCACAAGGCTGCCTGGCCCTTGAGCGCCCAGCTGGGGAGGCTAGCCCCGGCCCCTCCCCTCCTGTCCACCCTCCCCCACAGTCATGCCGCCGCATGGGCAGAGCGGCTTGCGCCCGCCCACCTCCCAGGCTTTCCAATAAGCCAGTCCTGCCACTCTGAGCGGCCTGGTAAGCGGGGGGCAGGGGAGGGGGGGGGTTTGGATAAGGGGCAGGAGGTCCCAGGGGCAGTCAGGGGACAGGGAGCAGGGGGGTGGTTGGATGGGGTGGAGGTTCTCGGGGGTGGTCAGGAGACAGGGAGCAGGGGGGATTGGATAGGGAGTGGGGTCCTGGGGGGGGGCGACTAGGGGCGGAGGGTCCCAGGACGGGGCGGTCAGGGGACAAGGATCGGGGGGGTTGGATGATGGTGAAGGAGAGGTAGGGCGTGAGGATTTCTCGAAAATTAAAAAGGGGTGTGATGCCGAAAAGTTTG